GATTGGAAACGTATCAGTATGTATCTAATGCACTTGATCCCACCTGGGGGGTGGAGGGGGGCGAGCAGAATATGGTCCCCTTCACTTGGAGTTGTTGCTACCCTGGGGAAATGGTTGATGTTTATTTCAAAACGCTGCATGACTTGGCTTGTTTGGTGGTCTCTCATATACTAATACTCTCCATGTTGTTGTATTATTATTATTATTATTATTGCTACTATTATTTTTTGCCATTTGTAGCAAATAAGTTTTGTTCAAACTGCCAAAAGGGGGTGAATTGGAATATATTGATTGTGATGCAAAGGTGTGAGCTGTTTGTGTGACTGCCTTTCCAAACGTTTCCGAGTCTTTTCTGTCTCCCTGCACCTTGCTGCTCTGGCTGGGCAGCTGTGACTGTGTGTCTGTGTGTAGGCAAGAGGTTAGCAAAGAAGGGGAAATTAAAACAATGTTGTACATTATATAGTTACCAGCTATTGAAAAACCTATTTTGTATGCAAGGCAGCAGTGTAGAGATATATGGAAAGCCTTGGGCTAAGTACAGAAGATAATTACATTTGGAATTTTACTGAGTTAAGTCATTTATAGCTTCAAATAGTTGGAGAGAAAAATCAGCAAAACCACACTTAAACTTCTTGTTGTTACTTTTCAAGATAAGCATTTTTTAAAAAATGCCTTTTATCTTCTTATCTTACAAATTACCCTTTTTCTTTCATAGATATTTCCTAAATTTTACTTTCAGGAACACGCTGGTCATGACACTCTTTCACTATTAGCTGAAGCAATGTAAACTATTTTAATACAAGTTTTATAAAAATCAAACTACCAGTCATAAAATATCAGAGTCTTGCAGAAAATGTTATGAGAAATGGTCTGTTATTTTAACAAGTTTCTCGGGAATTAGGAAAAAAAAAATAAAATTCTACAGTCTTCCTGGTAAACTGAGATATGAGATAATCTTTCACCAAGGTGCAATAATATTGAGGGTGAAGGTAAATCTAGATTCTTTAGTTACAGTCAGCTTGAAAAGCTTAATCCTTCTCTCCCACAGCCACTGAGAATGGCTGTACCTGCAACTCCAGGAGGATGCCCTGTGTTAACAGTTGCACAGAACAGAGATATTTGGTTACCACCTATGCATAAGCCCTTGACAATATTTTTGAAAGGTTTCTGTTAGTTGCTGTAAATGACTAAGAGTTACAGCTTCACACCCATTTGGTGCTGGGAATGCCTCTGAGCTTGGAGTCAGTGCAAGGGAAGGCAGCATAAGGTCCCCAAGGCAAGACCATGATTTCAAAGGGGTATGAGGGCCAAAAAGTTCTGGATTTGTTTTGACAATCACGTGAGCACAGTAAATAGGATGAACTGGAGACCTGATTTAGAAAGGGATGATGGTAACAGAGACCATCTATGTATTGGCCAGCAAGGACAAGTGGAGGAGGAGGCTGGTCCTGCTTCTGAAATGTACCTGTAACTTTCCCTTCTCCTTTCATCCCATATATCAGCCCTCTGATAGTTTAACAATACCCTGCCTAAACATGTACAAAGGTTTGTCCTCCAGTATCTAGTTTGTCTGTCTGTAACCTGTTTTTGCACAGAAACCGTAATAAAACCAAAAGTCTGGCCCAACAGTGGGGTGTTCAGTGTTGTGGTCTGAGGACCACTGACCTCACATAGTGGAGCATCACCAACAGGAGGGAGGCCAAGCCCTGTGGGCACTGAATTGTATGAGTTAGATCCAAAAGGGAGCCATAGTCTTTCCCAGTCACCCACAGTGCTCAGCTGTGCCTTACAGTGGAGCTGTGAAGTATCTCCTACTGTTCAGGCTCCAGGACCATGGCAGGACCTACATACCACACCATTTCATGCCTATACAGCCCCATCAAAACAAATTCATTCCACCTGACAGATATACCTCAGGTTTTGGGTGTGATGGACCCAAATTTAAACCTTTCGTTTTTTCTTTATGCTCTTATTTATTTTATGCACAATAGTTTTATCAGTGTTACAGACAGAGATAAGTGTAATATCTTTTAAAGAAAGTAATTTTGAATCAAAAATTTGGAAAGAAACAGGTCAGATCTGTTTTGTGTTTGATTGCAAATGCCCTTTGCAAAAATGTTGAAGTTGGGTCTCAGCATTTCCATCACAAACATACTTAAAAAATCACAGGCAAGGTAGAGATCTTCTCATATTTCACTTTGTTTAAACCATCTTGACATCATCATTTGTTGCCATTATAAATAGTGAGAATTGGGCTGCTGGGTAAAACACAAACACAGGAACCTAGCTAGTTCTTAGCTGGAATAGAACATCCATTTTGCAGCACCACCTTTGAGTGGGAAAACATTTCAGGATAGCAACAAGGCTATGATAAGTTTAGAGAAGTATCTTGCAATGGAAGAAAATTAAGAAGCTGGCCATTTTCAGTGCAGTGAAAACACTGCTTGGGCCTGCTTTCTTACAGCATCCATTGACATTCTTGGCAAGTGGATCCTAAAACTTTACAGTGCACAGCCTAACTAGGCGTGGAATGGGAGGGCTGTGTCTTGGCTGTCTCTTGCATTGCCCATGAGTGACTTCCTTCTCCTTTGTCCTTGGTCTGTCTGAAATCCTGCTGCTGAAGTGCTTTCCCCTTTTCATGTGGCTGTGCTCCTGCTGAATGCCCTCATGCTCGTTTTCCCATTTCTACTTCTTGCTATTATTTTCTGTCTCATTTTCCTCCTGTGCAATTTCTCTATCATCTGTGTCTCTAATGCCTTTTGTCTGGTTCCTTGGTCACCCTCTTGCCTTGAGCCCACTCTGGCCTGTGCTTTCTGTGCTTTCCTAGCTCTCCTACTGGTGTAGTTTTAGGATTTAAGCTCTCCAGGGCAAGGTTTGTGTCTTGGTGTCCAGCCTCACAAAGCTTATTACCTTGCTCTGGGTGTATTTTCTGTTGAACCACAGTTAGGCCACCTGCATTGTGCCTGTACTCCCAGAGGTGAGGGAAACCTCACAAAATCAGGCTTATCATGGAGAACTGGGTGGCCATCTGAAAACTCCAACAATGCAGAGCTTTCCAAATGGATGCAGGAAAAAAGAAAGAGGCTTCAGATGGGACTGTATTATTTTCCTCATACCTTCTGTACAGAGCAGGTTCTTACATCCCTGTCAGAACTGTCCTTGCTGAACAACACTATCTGTAGATCAAGAGCATTTTCCTGCTTGTTGACTAATAATCCCCATTTCTGCACCATCTGCACTCCAGTGAGTGCCACCAGTGTGAATTTGCTCCCACCAGTGGCCGGGCAAGCCCTCGTGGCTTCTTTAGTATGACCCCACTGACCAGAGAGGCTACTAGTGACACTCTAGTTTTATATCACTACTGCTTCCTGACCTAAGGGAAAAACAGTTTAAAGAAATTCTTCAGATTTTTTTACTTCTCTTCAGTGCTTTGAAACCGAGAGACCTCTATTTTTCATAATTTAAACTCCTGCCTAACTGGGTGAGTGTTTGAATTCCTAGACTATGACAAAATGCTAGCGTGTGTCTGCCTGAAATGTCGAGAGGATCTTTAATAACCTCCATCCACCAGATTCGGCGTTAAAAGCATTGCTGAGACGATGAGTGGAAACACTACAAACAAGGGCCCTGGCGGTGGGGAGGGGGGTGCCCCTCTCCCCGCTCCCCCTCACCGCGGGGGCCGCAGGAAGCGCGGCAGGGTGTGCCCCGCGCTGCCCGGGTGCCGTCCCCTCCTGCCGCCGCGCCGGGGCTGGCAGGAAGCTCTCAGGTGCCTGCCTTTTTGTTTATTTTGGCTACGAGATGTTGTTCTGCTGCAGTAGCCTGCAGACCAAAATTTAATGCACAGATGACCCCGCCAAGCCCTGGGCCTGTGTGCCCGGCGACTGCGAGGAATGAGGGATTGCACAACAGAGCTGCACGGAGAGCACAACTATTTCTTGGCTTCACTTGTTCTGTGTGAAGCATGGCGGCTGAGGGGTGAGCCCTCTCCATTCTCTGGAGAGGTCCTTGGAGGACTCTCAGAGGGAGAACTTTCTCTGCAGCGCTGCAGTAAGAGCCCTTCACTGCCCTTTGGCTCTCCTGTGAAGTGTCCGGCACAGATCTGGGATGAGATTGCAGGAGATCTGCTGTAGGTGTCAGGTTTTCTCTCTTACCTTTGAGGTTTTTGACCAAGAAAAGAACAGCCATTTGAAACGCCTGGTGATTTTTGCTTTTGCATTTCCAGAGCGTGCAGTGGTGACACCATTTTTTCCTTTATTTAATTCCTGTCTTGGAAACTCACGTGCCAAGTTTTATCCCATCATGATGCCTCTCTGGCAGTCTCAGAAACCCCTTCCCTTGAGAAGAGCAGGACAACCTTGACCATAAGGTTATGAATGGGGATTTATGACCAAGTCTCCTTTTATATACACTTAGCCCAACTTTACTGCTACAAACAGATGATGATGATGATAAGGTGGGCAGGTTGTTTAAAGTTTTGCTGGAATGCGAGCACAGTTCTCTTCTTGGCACCAGGAATCTGGCTTGTCTAAAGCAAAAACTCAACTCTGCAAAAATTGTCATTTGTAAGAACCCAATCCAAGTCCTGTTGGAAGCAGGAACCTTTATATTGGGCATGCAGATTAATAGCACCCCATTTTCATTACTGTTATTCTTAATATCTTTCCACTGTAGGTTTTTTTGAAGAGCAGCTGGAAAAAGTCCTATTCACACATACAAAAAATTCCTTGTTTCCAAAAATAATGAAATTTAGTGTCTGTCCAGTGCACTGAAATGCATTGGGAAGCTGACCTGGCTATGGATGCATGGAGTGATCCTGAGACTCCAGCTGTGGCCTGGTGTGGATCTCAGCCATAAAATGCATGAGACACCTAGAACAAGAGCTTTGCCCCAACTCTTGGGCCTGAAGTGACTGATGAGAAAGGGCAAAAACATTGGTCCTGTGGCACTGGGTGCTCTGGGGTGATTGCTGCTGCTTTCAGCCTTTCCCACCCCACTGCCCTCAGGATTATGCCAGAGGGATGCTGGCAGCTCCCAAAGCAGGACCTGCTGCATGCTTGAGGTGCCCCTGCTAAAGTTGCAGCTTGGCTTCCTAGGGGGACCTGTCAAGGGCTCTGTCACCTTCTCAAGTGAAATCCAGGTGCTTTTGAAGCTGAGGCTGCCTGACGAGCCCTGCAGAGCTGCCTCGTGTGGTTTAACCACCGCTGTCTGCGCTTGCTGCATGTGCCACAAAGCCTGTAGATGACGTAAAGCCACAGCCCATCTGTGCTGCTTGTTTTCTGGTCTGAAAGGGGGAAAATGCATCCTGGAACCCCTGCCCTGCTTGCTTTCTGCTGCACCTCCTGAGCTGGAGTGGGGCTGGTTAATAAACATGATTCACTGTTGTCTTTTAGCTGTCAGGGCTGGAGTGAAGCTCGTGGTGCCAGCAGGTCTAGCTCTTCTCACTCGAGGGCTAATGCACTTTGCTTTGGGAAATAGTGACACCCAGCACCACGCGTTAGCTTTACCTCACGAATAGGCCATATACAATTTCCAAACTACTCAGCAATAAAACTCTTCTGTCTCATGCCTCGGTGCCAGCTGTTTAATTAGGAATAAGCAGAGGCTGGGTTTTATTTGTGAGAGTAACAGAGGGTATTTTTTTTTCTCTCTCCTTTCAGCTTGCAAAAGATAAAGAGCGCCTGCAAGCCATGATGACACACCTGCATGTGAAGTCAACTGAACCAAAAGCCACCCCTCAGCCCGTAAGTACAAAATCGTGCCGAAAACAAAAAACAGCCCTCGCAACAGACCTCTTTTTCCTGTTCCCCACTGGAGTCTGGCCCACTCCAGAGCTGGGTGAGGGGAGGAGATGTGAAGTGCAGCCGGGTTTTGTCATCCCTTTCTCTTCAGGGAGTTTCAAAGTCAAATTTTGTTCTAAAGCTGATGCACTAGGCCTTTTTCTGGCCTCATGTACTGGCCTGTGAGTCACTTTGCATCAGTCTGACTAGGATGAAATCTTAGGAAGTGTTAGGAAGGAGTTGTAATTAAATTATATTTAGTATATTTATTTTGCTTTCTCCCTGTCTGACAGACATTTACAGTAGAAGAGACTCTTAACTGCACATTTTGATGATAATCACGGTTACCCAGTATCAGGTTTTATACTGTTGAAACTGAGAAGTGAAACCTTCTCCACCCCAGATTGCTCTTTGAAAAAGGGGAAACAGGGGAAGCAAGTGGCTTTGCAGCCCGAGAAAACTCCTGGATACCCTCAAACCCATGCAAATCTCCCATCTCCTTCCTTGACTTAAATGACTCTTCTTCAGCTGTTGTTTTCTCCCAACCTCTTAATGCTGAAAATGTTCCTCAGAGCTTCCAATGATTATTCAAAATGGAGAGAGTGCTTTGCTTCTTGATTTTAAGATTTGTAAGATTTAAAGGTACACTGGCTTTATTTGATTTTGCTTTGAGTCATTGTGTGAAAATTAATTGAGCGTTGACAATCTATAGTTAGTACCAGCAATTTTAATCAATATGCAATGATGCAGCATAATGACAAAGTATTGGTTTATCTGTTTTGACTGATTTTTTTTCTATAAATAAAGCAAACACACACCCATATATGTATGATTTATGGTGATAGAAATAAAAAGGAGTCAGACTATTAACCCAGCAAATATGGTAGCCTGCCAAGATGCAGTTGGTAGACAAAATTAATGTCTGAAACAGAACACATTACAGAGATAGAGAACATAAAATCATTAAACACTTCGCGCACACATTTTTACTAGAAAAGGATTTCTCAGTTTCCATGTAGTTGGAAATAAATGGTTGCAGAAGTGCATAGGGAGGCTACTAGACAGAAAATTGCAGGCTATTCAGCAACACTGGAGCAGATGTCAAAGTCAATGGGAAATTTCCTTGCCTTTTTGGAGAGAGTTGAGTGGTGCACATAAACCCTTCCATTTAAGCTGTAGAGTTGCCTAAAATTGCCTGATGCAGTGGACACCAGCCCTCTAGAGTGGAAACTACTGACAGTGTCTATAAAAATAGCATTCTTCTAGTTCCTCACATCCATCTCAGCCTGAATGCAAATGCTTCAGCTCATTGTTGGCAAAGTGTGTAGACCCAACAGAATGGGGAGGAGGTTTGGTTTCTATAGCTCTTACTGGATTAAAAATTAAAACAGCGGAATAATCTGGGAGTCTCAAAGCACTCTGCCTTGAGGCCTTTCATAACAGCGGTGCCCCTCAGGAGGAGGGATTACAAACTGAAGGGAGGAAATCATCAGAGGGCGAGGAGCGGCGTTTGGCGAAGGCGGCTCGTGATCGATGCGCGGCCACGCAGGGCAGGAGGCTTTGGCGGGGCTTGTAGGCTACGGAGATACCAGGCGGTGTCGCCATGAAGATTAGTGTTAACAGCTAATAAACAGGGAAAAGCAGCAGAAAAAAACCCCTTCAACGCAGGGGGAAAAGGGCTGTCTTGATTAGTATTAAAAATGTTTTACATTCTGGAAAATTATAGCTTTGTTGGGGACCTCCTACTAAATTTATTTTTAACTGCTCTATTGAAAATTCTGTACCACTAGTCAACATTATCTCTCAGTTGCTCAGCACAGTGTTTCTTTATTAAAAGAAATAGGCATGAATATTTTTGACTGAAAAATTAATAGCTTTTGAATTCATACACAGCAGGTTTTCTTTTGCAAAGAAGTCCAATATCGCTGCACAGCACTTCTATAACCATTTATTTAGAGTCCAAGTCAAACCTTTGACAGCTAGAGCAGTGTTACAAGCCAACATAAAGAACTCCAAGATGTAAACCAACAATAGGCAGTCTGTGTGAGGTTTGCCATTGTCAAATACATAGATTGTTTGGATTAGTTTATGTAAATGTACTGTTGTATTACCCTTTGGAAAAAAAAAGATCACATTTGTGTATGAAAAGTGGTTTCGTTCACAGGCAGCATTATAAATTCCTTATCCTTTAACTTACATGTTAGAAGTAAAAATTGGTGCCTGACAGGCCTATATTGTGTGGCACTCTGTTGTTGGATTGAAACTGCCTTCTTTTCATTTATTGAAATATAGAAAAATTTATTATAGATACCATCTGATAAATCAGAAATTATTAAAATATGTATAGGTGAAGCATTTGAAAATTAATTATAAAATGTAGAAGTATAGTGTTTTGCATAAATTGTGCTTTCCTAGTGAAAAAAATACACAGGCATTGCATAGACTCTGCTAGACCCTCATCCTTTTAACTCAGTGGGATAGGACTTTGGTAAAAAGATCTGATGACCATTATTGCACTGCAAAGTAGTCTTTACATCCAGTAATTAATTTTTTTTTCTGCCAACATAACTAATGCAAGGTGTATGTTAGAACTAATATATTACAGTGCTTTGGTGATTTTAAAGGAAAAAGCGGTTGTGAATCCAAACATAGCAGTGAATTGGGATTTAAAATTACAACCTTTTCATGACTGAGGAAATGTTTTTATTCTACTTAAAGGATCTTAATGCTTGTTTTAAACTGTTTTGCTACTGGGGGGTTATATTGGTGTCTGTGTTAACCACATGCCATGTGTAATCCACACTGACCAGTGGTACCACATTTGCCTTTTGGGCTTTGGGCAGAGTGGGTGGTGTTGGACCAGTTGGACCACAGCCAAGTTCTTGGTGGTTGTGCATCAGTTCAGAACTCAACCCAGCTTTGAGTAAGGGTTGCTTGTCAGGTTTAGCCATGTCCATCCATCTCTTCCCCACCTGTGGGTGGTTTTAGCTCCTTGCAGTAATATTGAGCTTGGGAAGGGTGATGGAGTGGCCCCTGTATTTTAGCCCACCAAGACAGCTGTTCAGTAAAGTTCTCAAGCTCTCTAGATTCAAGCACCCTCCTATATAGTGTAGTGGTAGATGGCACAGATCCCTGGCAGAGGGGTCCCTGGGCAGGGAGGTCACTGTCAGTGTCTGGTGTGCTGCTCCCAAAGGGCTGCTGGGCAGGGAGGAGGGGCATGGAGGGGGAACACTCCAGGAGCTGGGGCAGTGCTCAGGACCACCTTTAAAGATGCCCAGCCTTATAATTAAAATGCTCAATGGCAGCACTGTAAAAAAAAAAAAATTGAGGAGTCTCACAACTTAACACCTGGGGCAGGCAAAGTTGTTCCTCTTTGTGCTACCCGTGTAGTTTTAGTGGGACTAAAGGGCCTTACTCTAGTGAGAAGAAAGCTATCTGAGACAGAATATGCTGTGACGTGTTTCAGTGAGGTGAATTTTTTTTTCAAGGTAAAAAAAACCCAAAACCACAACACAAAAGCCGGAACAACAATTTCTCAAGAATTGTCACCCTGGTTTTGCTATTAAGAAACCTTCCCCGACATGCTCTTTTCATCGGTGTTAGCCATCAGCATAATAGGTTCAAATGGAAATGTGCTTTCTTTTGGGAGGATTAACTTATGTCGAAGTTCATAGGAAGGGAGGGAGAAGGAAAAAGCATCAACCAACAAGTAATTCTTCATGCTAGGTGTTACAACCATCTTTTAAAAATAGAAAACTTTTAAAGACACTTTGGCACTTCAAGTAAGATGCACTGCTAGATATCCCTTCTTTAATGTACTTTTTTTTCCCTTAACCATAGCAGTTATGATTGTTTTGAAATACTGTTTTTAGCAACTGTAATAACAAAGCATTAAAAAAAAAAAAAAGAGCCTTTTAACTGTTGAGGTAATGACTGAGCATTTTAGCTGCTGTAGCCGTACTTTATAGTTTGAAAAAATAACGATACGCAGCAATAAAGAGAGATTCTCAAGCACAACAAAAGCTGTTTTTATATACTGGTTTTCATTAAGTCTCACTCCTCAGCTTCAGTTTCCTTAGTATTCCTGCCAATAACAACACCTGCTAAGTGATTGCTGCCTGCCAGGCTCTGCATCCAGTACACTAATGTGTCCAGGCTGAAACAGGGAGAGGAAGACACAGCATTGAACAAAGTTTTAGACCCAGTATTCACTTTCTTTCTCACCCTTGGTGTCAAGAAAACGAGTTTCTGCTCCAAAGTATTTCAGTCCCAGGCACTCAGTGCAGATAAATCCTCAGCCCCAGAGCAGCAGCTTCCATCACAGAGGAGTGACTGCCCTGCAGCAGTGGGTATGGCCCCACTGTGACATTTTTATATATATAAACATGTATATATATTTATTTTCCTCTTTTAAAAGAGTTTCAGGGCTATTTATGTGCAGCCACTATTGTCATGTAAAATGTTTACACAAAAAGAAATCAGACTTAGCCCTAGTGGGAGAACCACTTACTGGAAATCTGTTTTACAGGGTGAAGGAGAGGGTTACCTCTCTGCCTTGTTTATACCTAAAGAAAAAAGAAAATGACTCAGTTTTCACCTTTAATAGGAAGACATGACTGTTTCTTGAAAGGGAAGGTTAATATAAAATCTTAAGCAGGATATTGAATGCTGAAACAATTGTGGCATTTATGATGAAGTCAAAACAGTATGAGGAAATATTCTCAAAAACCAAAACAACCAACAAGGTCCAGTGATTGAATTTGCAGAATTTTAGGACCTGAAACTGTTGTGGGCTTTGGTGGGTTTTCTGTTGGTTTTTTTCCTTCTTATTTTTGGTTGGGGTTTTTTAAAAGACTGGAAGAAATCCTGCCTTCCCCCAGTACATGCCCAGTACAAACATTACAAAAACATTTAACTCCTTGGTGCAAGGGTGTACTCTGAGAGTGCCCACGTTGTGTCTTGCTGCAGTGCAAGAACACTTGCATGTTGAAGTGCTCACTCTGTGACTTGGGCTCCCTTCCCTCTGCCAGCAGCGAGACCTCATCCAAAAATTATGGTATGTGGGAAACAGGCTGTGTACAAAATACCAACTCGAACAACTTTTCTAATCATAGTAACTTGTTTTTAAATAGCAAATGCAAACAGGGAGAAACCGTGTCGAGTTTCCATCAGGAAAAGAAACCCTCCCAGCCCAGTCCTTCCCTGATCTTTGCCCTGCACAATCATCCACGGCCGCTTCCACGTTTCTAATTGACGCCAATATTAAGATTTAATAGTTTGCCATTCAGATTAATAATTCAAGATGGCAACAAAACCAACACCATTCATAATTTGTTATTCTGCTCTAATTCACAACCGATTTTTCAGCCTTGGCGCTATCGATGCAACAAAGAAAGCAGCAGCGAAGGCTGCGGAGGGAGCACAGCCCTCTCCTCCCTTACCCTGGCTCGGGTTTGGGGAACCCAGCTGGAAGAGGGGCATGTCATCAAATAAAACACGGAAAAAGGAAAAACTTCGCTAGCAATGGACAAGGTCGTGTTTCATTAACTTGTTGGTTCAGGCTCACAAATGGTCGTCGGAGGTGAGACGCGGCAGACTCGCTGCGTTCCAGCTTTTTGTTCTCTCTTTCCTCACAGACTGCAGTCATGTTTAATTTGGAAACTGGGCTCCTTTGGCAAATTAGCAATTAGAACAATTTTGTGGGAATATGTATATGTGTCATTAGGTTTCCTGCAAATTAATAGCGAGAGCAGAGGTCAGGCAGAAATTTTCCACTTGACTGCAGCTCCTCTGTTGAGATTTGGCACTTTGTTTTGGAACGACCACAGCTGCTCAAAGCCACAGTCTTCCTTTAGGAACTGTCTTTTAATTAGTTTACCTCATAGCCATTATTACAAATATTACTGCCTCCCCTCCTTGAAATAAAATTACTGTTTCTACAAAATATTCCGGTGACATCTTGCACCACTGCACATTGATGGTGGGGTCACTTGGATGCAGCGTTTAATCATTAGATCACCTCCATAAGCATCTCCTAATTAGAGTCCTTACAATACAATTTTATCTGGTAATTAGCTGAGATTGGCTGCTTCCTCTGTAGCTTATTAGTGGCAGCCCAGCAGTGGGTGTGAATCACAGTGTCATTTGTCAAGCCTGTTAAAGTCCCCCCCCCTTTGCTCGTCCTCTTCTGTGTTTATTCCTCGTCGCTACCTACGCTGAAAAGCCTAAAGAAATTTAACTTGATTCAGATTCTTTAAGCAGGGAACGCTGACCTTTGTGGATCCTTTCTCACAGTTCCCTAGTAGAAACAGATTAAATGTTAAGTTTTTACACGCTGGAAAAAGGAAGGGGACTCCTTTGAAATGGAGTAGTTGGAGCCGTAATGATGAAGCAGGAGCAGTGATCTTTCCAACAGGAGGGCCCGGCTGCTGAGCCTGCGCTGAGAAGGGCACTTAAAATTGACGCAGATTTCCTCGCAGTTATTGGACTGTTAAAATGTCCATTTAGAAACTGAGATAAAATACAGTAGATTTAATTTCATGGTGAGACCTGTCAGTTGCACTATTATTATCATCACTGGTCCTTTTATCATATGTAATAGATGGATAGATGGATAACAGGGAGACATTACTATATATATGTCCCTAATCAGCGTCCTTATATCATGCCAGTCAACGATCGGACTGGGCAGCACGTGGTGGCACTGCCGGGCACTGTGAGGTTTTAGGCAGGTGAGCTCATCTCCTACAGGCTACAGATAGTGATTCGGACCAGAGCAGGACTCTGGGAAATTTCACCTGTATTTCACCACCATCCCTCTCTGGGTTCATGCTCTGTGGCTTTGCCACAAAGTGTTAAATATTTCCTGCTGGAAGGCGAGTTGTTTGTAAGCACCTGCACAGAAAGGTGGGTGTTTGCAGGTCTGTTGCTCACCACCTCTCTCCCTTGGAGCACCATTGCAACCCTGTGGCACCAGCCTCTGCCTGGTGTTTGTGTCCAGGGCTTCCCTCAGCTCACTCCCTCTCACCATCCTGAGGGAAGAGCAATCACAATCTTCCCTCAGTTGCACCCTTTCTGTGGGCGATGGGCTTTTTGTGTTGTTATCCTCTCTGTAATGCTACAGCTCTTTATTTTCCCACTACCTTTGTTTTGGATAAATCCTATTATTTTTATAAAGAAACGTTATTTGTGGCTATTAACTCGTTTGAGGGCTGCTAATAGGAGTTTTCTTATCTGGTTACTTTCATACGAGGAAAATTAATACAGTGCTTTATGGATAAACATGAGATATTTAGGGGCATAGCTGCATCATGTGCCTTGCCTTCATCTCTAAAGGTTTAATGTCCAGCAAAAGAGGAATTTTAATCACCAAAAAAAAGTTGTAAAATTCTGACCCTGTTAAATTCAGTAGGAATTTTGCTACTGACTTCAGTGAGGTCAGGATTTCGCCAATATTATTTGCAAAACTGCCTAAGGGAAGGAAATGTGGAAGTAGTCAAAGAGCCCTTTTTTCAGTCGTCTTCTCTGATGTTGTAGTTAAGGGATCTGATTGTTTGTTTAAAATACTTCAGCAGGAGTGACCTATTGAGACTGAGCGTCGTCTTTCAAAGGACATTGTAGGGCAAAAAGAAAGGGTCGGGGAGGAATGTGGATGCTGGTTATATAAATAGGGTTGTGTATCGAAAATACTCTGGTTGGAGCTGGGTTTGATACCCAATCCTGGGGGCAGGTGTGTTCTACAGCCTGCTGGGGCACGGTCTGCATGAGTGGGGCTGGGCTTCGTGCAGGTAATGCCGATGCCTTCCGTCCTAGGAGGAAAAGAAAGAGTGGTGCCACTTGTGCTGGGCTGAACGCTCGCAGTATTTCATGCACTGTGATTAATTAAATTATTCCAGTGTTAACCTACTCTGGGCTTTGCTTTTAAAATGGATGAACAGAGAAGAGAGGGGGAAAAAAAAAAAAAGAAAAGCCCAAATGCTGAAGAGAGAGATTGCATTTCTCCCTAGCACGTCCCTAGGAAAGTCTTGCCTTTTATTTTAAGCCTTATGCCTTCAATGAAATATCCAAGAAGGCTGATTAGAAGCTATGCATAATGATAGAATGGAAATCAGAGAGGTGTGGGGTTTAGACTGTGAAACAATGAAACTTGAAGTAAAATATTAAAACGATTATGTACTGTGCGAGATCTTGCTTTAAGGTTTAGATAAAAATTCATGATTTGTACTTCTGGCAGCAGGCTGCATTGTTCTGTTTTTTAAACCTATTTGGAAATGTATATATTTATTTCCCTTTGCTGTCTCCTGAAGGAGATGTTAGAGCAGCACTGTGTGCCAAGGGCTCGGGCTGTGGGGTCTGCTCCGAACTGAGGGACACTCCGTACGAAGAATTTCCGCAGCCCTTAATTATCCAGAAACGCTGTTTGTAACGAAACCCTCGTCCTTCCCTCCGCAGCTGAATCTGGTATCGAGCGTCACGCTTTCCAAGACCGCGTCTGAGGCGTCTCCGCAGAGCTTACCTCATACTCCCACCACCCCGACTGCGCCCATCACTCCCGTCACGCAGGGACCGTCGGTCATCACTACCACGAGCATGCACAACGTCGGGCCCATCCGGAGGCGGTACTCGGATAAATACAACGTCCCCATTTCTTCAGGTAAGGCGGTTCCGGTGGCACAGCCCCCGCCGTGGTGGGGCCGCTTGCTGTTGCCCCTGGCCCGGCGGCACCAGGCTGTGATGGTAACAGAACAACTGCTCTTATTTAGCAGATATTGCCCAGAACCAAGAGTTTTATAAGAACGCAGAAGTTAGACCACCATTCACGTACGCATCTTTAATTAGACAGGTAAGCTGAGCCAAACACATGCGTTTGGATTAGGGGGAAGAAAAAAAGCCTCCCTATATGTGCACACTCTGGATTAAATAGATTTTCAAACCTTTGGTATGTAAGCGTGCTCAAATGCTCAAACCTTTACTATAAGGGTTTTTAGAACTGCAATATATAACATAATTGCTTTTGATTAAGTATTACAATACGATGTGATTATTAGGAAATTCATTTCACACAACAGTGAAAATGAGCCTGTTTAAAGATGGCAAGTCAATTATCACAAGCTACAGTAATCTCTGATCCCTAGAATTAATCTGAGCTCTAAATAATTACTGAGCTTTAATCAGCTAGTGAAATGTTTTGCATTTCTCTTTGATTCTGCTTTATGAATGACTAATAAATTAATATTTCTGTAAGGAAACAGAAATAAAAACTCAAAACAATTAGATAATTCCATTTTGAATTTTGCCATTGAACTGTTAAATACAACCATTAATCTTAGTTCATATTGTGAAAACCCTCCTTTGGATTTTTTGCTCCAGATCTCTTCTTTTTCATTCTTTCTTCCTTTTCTTCCCTTTTTGTGTGGGGTGAAGTAAATCTGTGAGTGTATTTTGTGCGGGCGTGCTCGTAACTGACCTTGCAATCGCTTTGCTTCACAAGGCCATCCTGGAATCTCCCGAAAAACAGCTAACACTAAACGAAATCTACAACTGGTTCACGCGAATGTTCGCTTACTTCCGACGCAACGCGGCGACGTGGAAGGTAAGCCCGAGCCCGCCTCTGCCTCTTGCCTTTGCTGTCTGCCATGTACGGAATAGACATTGCTGATGACATAACAAATTGCACCGACGTGTGGACGTGAAAATTTAGATCGGCAGTTTTGACACTCGCTGGGTGCCTTATCTGCAGGAACAATTTGATATTTGGCAGAAAAATTCTTCTGCCTTTGAAAACCACTAATTGAATCCCCATTATTGGCTTTTATGTTCTGTGATTATGCCACGAGTTCCTCTGTGTGGTTGCTACGAGCAGGGAAACTCAAGCCCTTCAGCTGGAACGTATTAGAAAAGGGGAAAAAAAAAACAACAGAGGTAAAGTTCTTGTGTCAGTAGAAGATATACTGTTTGTCTTGTTAGTTATGCAGGCTGTAATCACAACCACCACTTCTTTTCCCTAGGATCTATAGATCAGTGGATTTCTTTCCTCAGTCGACTCATAACTACATATACAGCTCTGTTACAACCTTCCTCTCTTTTTTTTAATCACACAGTAGAAGCTTATTGAATTTAATATGCAAGAAGCAAACTCCACAATAAGAAATGTCTTTAACAGAAATATACTTGGGTTTTGGCACTTCAGTTTTTTTCCATCACTAGCACAGATACTGTTAGGTAAAAGGTTTGGGGAGTTAATTTTATTTTATATTTTGGAGGGGCCACTCCTTCCCTTATATATAGCACTTTAATATCCTTATTGGCTTCTGAATCCAGTGCAATTACAAGTGAATGAATCAAATATCAGGATCTTGCGTCACTGTGAAACTTGTACCCTAGTATTTGGAGCCCCTCTTAATCTAGACAGCTCTCTTCCTCTCAGACAACTTCAAATGACCAGGTAGGATGAAGAGGTCCCATACATGCTGTCCCATCAACTCTTTCTGTTTTCCCTGTCTCAGCCTGCATTTAGGATTAATTCCTTCAGAGGATGGAGCTAAAAATGGTCCTTGGAAGTTAGCTTGGGTTTTAGTGGCAAGGTTTGCTTTTAATTCAGATCCCAGCTCAATTTTGTACATACTCAAACTTGGTCTAGAAACTCTTAAGTTCAGGAAAAGTTGCTGTGATTGCTGCTTTGATTCTTCCCTGCAGTTGGAAAACATGAGCAGTATTTCACTTTGCAGCTTCCTTACTATCCAGAAAGGAAATTAACTTTCCCTGATTTAAGATCCTTTTAGACCTGCCTGTCTTTTGCTGCTGGAGTGGTTCCAGTAGGACTTTCAGCAGCTGCAGGTGTGGGTGCTAAAGTAAAAATCCTATTTAGTTCCAGCAGCAAAGGGAAGTGGAGGGAGGAGTGGAAGAAGGCAGCAGGCAGCCCTGGCTGTATCTCCTGTGAGGCTAGTTTTGGGAATTAGCTTTTTGCATCCCATAAAATCCAATCCCAGAAACCACATGCAGATAGAGAAGAGGAGTAAAGAGGCTGAGCTGCAGATCCTCGGGCTTGCAGAAGGGCAGGGTGTGTCCTGGGGAGACCCCTCCTTGGACACCTTGACTTTCTGCAGGTGTCCAGGTCCTGTTTCCTGTAACAGGGAAGGAAATCTTCACCCCAGATCCAGCAGCACCAGCAAAATTGGCAATTGCTTGGAGTAATGCAGGTTTTTGTGCTGGAGACTGCTCAGATTTCTGCTAGCCTTCAGGAACAGCAGGGATGAAAATGCAGCCCTGGATTGGCATGATGGGAAGCCCACGGGGCGCAGAACAAGCACAAGGGGCTAATTGCAGAATCAGAATAATTTGAATATATATGTGCTGATTTACGCTCACCTTCAGCTAATGCTTAGGGGGCGTTTGGGTCAGTGTTCCCCAAGTTTAGGGTCAGGGTTTGGTGAGGGAAAGCTTCCCTGAGCCCTATTTCAAAAACACAGAAGAGTGCAGGAATAAAGACCTTTAAAAAATGAACCTCCTTCCCAAAATGCAGTACGGCAGAGCCTGAGCAGTTATTAAAATAACAAACCCTTTCATTTACTACATTCAAGCATGTTCAGGGTAATTTTTCTGCAAAAGTGGCTTGCATACAAATATTTTTAACAAGGTAAATATATAATCTTACAATAATAGCTCCTAATTTTTCTGTTAAGCTGATTGCTGGGGGAGCACTGTGAACTGGTTCTGACAGGTCAGAGGCAATGTCTGTTTGCTTTTATTTTTTGGAGTAATTTGCTGGCACTGAGTCACAGCCATGAGGCACAGGCTGCAGGTGTGGCTCCAACACGTTGGGGTATTGTTCAAATAGAACTGTTAGATAGCAAGTATCCAGAGGCAGGGGAAACACAACAATTTTTTTCTGGCATGAATTCCTTAAATAAGGGATCACATGGAAAATAGGAAGCTAGGGCAACACTTGGTGGATGTCTTGTAAATACTCGACTTTGTTTCAACATATCAAGAGCCCGATCCTGCAGCCTAAACCATCAATAGCACGTGGCCTTCAAGAGAATAAGAACAGACTGTAAAGTATTTCTGCAGCATTAAATTCATTTAAAGGAGAACACAAACATTTCTGCTCAACCCTGTATTTAGAGACTATTTACAAACTCCGAGGACTCCCTTCGCTGAGCTTTGCCGTGTGTGTTTGATCAACTGCTGTATGAACCACAAGATCAGCTTTCACTGGGGGAAATAGTGTTATTATTCTTACATTTTGCTCCAGACTTGACAGTGTTCCCATTTTCACAGGAAACTGCCTGAGTTACCCAGATGTGGGCCAGCAGACCTGTGTCGGGTTGCACTAGTGCGGCACCCACCAGCAGTTGCTGAGCTGGCTGATTTTAGCTCGTAAGGTGTGGGGCGTTTACATGTTTTTCCTCCACCTCAAAATCAGAGATTCTGCCAAAAATGTCAACAGTAGTGAAATCTGGAAGAGGTGGGAGGGGAAAAAAAATATCATTAAAAAATGAGAACAGAAGAAAGTAAGAGCAGAAGGAAGCAGCCCTGATGGACAGGTTGATTTTCTGCTAGATTTTCTGCCTTGCTGAGAGGGAAAGCATATTCAAGGTTTATTTTTGCACCAGTTCAGAAGCAGATCAATGTGGAAAAGCCGAACTGCCCAGATTGGGCACCTACAGCCAGCAGAGATGCACTCAAGCATCTGCTGAGCAAAGGCAGTTCAGACCCTAAATCTTCCACACATATTGGGGTGGGAGTGTGAGGACTGCACTTGCCATGGCAGGGAATTGGAGAAAGAGCAGAAGACTCTTTGCTTTCCCCTCCCAGCACACACACCACCGCCTCCTAATTTACATGACAAATGCTCTGTGCATACCCTTTGTTTGCACAGTGATTTAGACATTCACGATTAGAGCTGCTTTTCTCCATCCAGTCTCCATGTTCACGAAAAAAAGGATGATGATGATGTCGGAAGGAAAAAAAAATTGTCGTCTCCTGGTTTCCTAGACCCAGGCCATGTGTTTGGCTGGCTTTGTGCCTGCTAACGAGTCAACCAGATTGACTGAATCAATGGTGCCAGTGAGAATGGAGTTTGTTCGCCTGCAGATTTTCTGCAAATGGCTTCTTCTGTTTTCCTGGTTTCCCCAGCCCCTTTCAGCAGTGCTGGGGACAAGCTCCATGTACAAATTCCATGAACAATGGCTTTGTAGAATCATGGAGTCATTTAGGTTGAAAAAATCCTTTAAGATCATCGAGTCCAATCATTGCAGTAGGATATTTGCTCAGGAAACTCCTGAAGCAGGGAAGGAGCATGGCACTCAATTGGAGGAGTAACAAGGGTCTCAGCACCGTGTCAGAGGGAGCAGGGATGGAAAAGCCAACAGCCTGCAGTGACATGCTGAGGTGTCTGATTGTGTCCAGCCTCAGCACATTAAAGGGGTTGGCTGGGCTCATCCTTCCTGGTGCAGGACGGACGTCCAGGCATCTCATGCCATGAGCGTGGGTCCCTCTGCATGATGAGCTGTGGGGATATTATCACTTTGTTTCGAAGAGCCCTTCTCATGTTTTAACTTGGCAGAGGCTCAGATCAGTCACTACAGTAGTCTGCCAGAAAAAGGAGCCAACTTCCATATAAGAGCAAGCCGTGGAGGCAGGAGTCGGTGCCGGCCGGCCAGTGGGGTGCTGCCGAGCCCCTGGTCCGTGCCTTGGGTGTGGAGGGAGGTTCAGCACCTGATTCACATTAGCCCAGCTGTGGGAAACCACAGCAACACCCGCTCCAGTGCCTCGCTGCTAAATCCGGCCGTCTGTACTTACATGAAATCCTTTCTGTTCTAACTGCTTTCTTTTCCAGGAGGGGAGAAATTTCTCTTTGCAGAGCGTATATATTTGTTTTGAAAACGTCTAAGCAATGTTCCTGTTGTGTTCTGTATGAAATGTGCTGTATTCTACAATGTGCATGCTTAAAATGATGGCTGTTCTCAGTCACACTGGGGATAATTTATAAGAATAACGTGAATTTTTAATCTTGGGGGTTTAAGCTTTCATATTTATTTTGTCTTTGCGAAATAAGATGTAAAGAGCCGGGGAAGGCGAGCGGGTGCGGGGAGGGGAAGGGGCTTAACATTGCAAAATGAGAACTGTCAAGCTGACTGTGCTGCTGTTCTTGGACAATGATGAGCATTTTCTCATAGAAGGTTTTTGAATGTTTTCTCTTTTATACTTGCTGCAGAATGCAGTGCGTCATAATCTTAGTCTTCACAAGTGTTTTGTGCGAGTAGAAAACGTTAAAGGGGCAGTATGGACAGTGGATGAACTAGAGTTCCAAAAACGAAGGCCACAAAAGATCAGTGGGTATGTCCACCATGTTTGAACTTCTTAGCCTAGCTCGGATCATGCTTACAGTTTAACGTAGAGGCTTTTGGCTGCTAGCTGGTGTTAGACCAACCACAGGTGGTTTCGCATTGTCTCAGTAAAGGGAAACCAAGACAAACATCTCATCACTACTGTTTGTATGCCCACCAGTACCCTGACCCTGCTTGCTTGGTGTTTGTTGCATCACATGCTAGTAGCTTTTAGGTGGCAATGCATATTAACCCTCACAAACCATTTGCTTATGCTTATTGCATTTTATTTTCTTTTTCCTTTTCCCTGTATTTGATGTCTGTTCTGTCCCCGATCCCGTGTCCCTTTGTTTCCACTTCATCTCCTTTGCTGCTGCTCTTGTCCCAGGGTGCCATTCGCACCAACCTCTCACTGCATAAGTGCTTTATCAGAGTAGAGGATGAGTTTGGGTCCTTTTGGACTGTTGATGATGAAGAGTTTAAACGTGGCCGTCATATTCAACGAGGCCGTCCTCGAAAATACTGCCCTGATGAAAACTTTGGCGAGCTTGTTGCACAGTAAGAGCTTTTACTTGCTTTAATTTTTTTTTCTGCTGTTGCTTTGCTTTGCATGATTTACCCATCTCATGTAGACTTGCATTTCACGAAATAGTGACATCACCTTTGCTGCTAAAGAAACTAAATTTTTGGTTGTTATGTGTATTTTGTGTGTCCTACTCTGATAATCCAAATGCCTGTAGTAATAACTCTACTGTGACATGTTTGTTAAAGCATTTATTTATAGAGCAATGTAGACTAAGATAATTATCCGCGCTAGCGCAGATATGCTGCTGTAGACGTGTCAGGAAGACAGATATATGCCAGGAAAGGCTTCAGATAAGTTTTAATTCTGATATTTTCCTTTGCTTTCAACTGTATGCTTTGTTTTGCAACTGTTAATCAGAAAGAGTAAGGTACTTACAGGACAGAAATGCTGAATTCACTTTAAAGAGTTTGAAAATGCAGTGAGACCGGGCTATAAAGATGATAATCAACAGGCCATCCTGTGCCTACAACAACCCTGCACCAATATTCCTGGGGCTCCCAAAGCGATTTTCTTTGACCTTTACTTGAAGGCCATCTCTCCAGGACAACTGATCCTTGCTGGTTCCTCTGCAAGGGTCTCAGTTAAGACTCTGCTCACCATGATTTATTCCCACATGAAAAAAATAAAAACATTTCCAGTGAGCAATAAATCTTAGGGGAGAATTTTTGCATTGGCACTTTCAACCTACTTTCTGTTTTGTGTTTCTTTTAATTTCCCCCCCCTCTGGTGGAACCAGTGATACTGGGATGCCTCCTAAAGGGAGAGGGGATATGCTCAGCATTCATATTCCTCAAATCTGGCCCCTTATGTAAAGTTGATTAAAATAGGGGTCCACAGTAGCACATCAGAATCTATTTTATTCAGAGAGCCTTTAGGGCAGTGTGGTGGCTTGTGTGGGCCATTGTGCCTCCATGCCCACGGACTGTTTGGGGCTATGGAGAGGGCAGCCCCAGTGGCCACTGGCTGTTTGCCTGGCAGGAGATAACACGGCTCAGATCCTCTGTCACCACGTCCCCCCGCTGTGCTGGGAGAGTCTGCACTGCCAGCGACTGGGAGAGCAATTCGGATGAAGTAGTATTTAAAGTGTCCTGTGATGCTTTTGATCGTTGCCTCCTCACGGTGGACCTTTACGTGGTAACTGGCTCCCAGACACGGCGAAAATGGGAGGATTTCTCCTGAACGCAGCTAAAATGAGCAGAGATGCCAAGATGTGCTACTAACGCAGGCTAGTGGAACACATGGCGAGGTAACGTCGAGAGATAATGACGTTCCTTATTTAGTAAAGGCAAACGTGATAACCATAGCCGAAAACTCAGATCTAATTTCTTTAAATTAAAAAAAAAAAAATTTAAAAAAAAAAAATGAAAAGAGAGAAACGAAAGAGAACTCGTGTGGAAAACCAGTCTCAGCTCTAGTTTTCTGGTGTGGGAGGAAGCATTACATGCTTGAAACACTCGCACAGAAGTTGGTTGCATTTAACTCTCCTTTTTATGTTTTTCTTATGCAGTAACCCTTCTCTTATTAAAAACATACAGACCAGCCACACCTACTGCACACCTCTCAATGCTGCTTTACAGGTAAGATTAATGACTGTAGCAAATATGCAACAGAGGCGTGTGTCTTCCCCACTCATTTCAAAATATATTAGCCTTGCTCTAATTAGATATTAAATTTTAATTCCGTTAAACTTTTTTCTTAAGTGCATAAAGCATCATAGTCCCTGGAGGCAAACACATATCAGGCTGCTTCAGCATTAGCTAGATGCTTAGCATTTTGAATATTGTGGCAAAAAAATTAAAAGTTCACTTATTAATATTTATCAGCAGTATCATAATTTCCATCCTCTTATTTCAGAATTTCACTTGAGGCAAAAATACCACAAGTGTAATTACTCTAGCACAGCTATTAATGTGCTGAATGATAGGATACTGCGGCACGTGACCTTCTATTGTTCATGGCTTTAAAGAGAAAGCAGATCATTTTTCCCCCTTTTCTTTTAAGGGCTATTTTTGCATATCTTCCTATTGTTGGTAAAAAATAAATGGTGCAATTCCTATAGAAAAAAAAAAAGATAATTTTTATTGGGTTAAACTGTAATTGTAAGACAAAAATTCTGTTTTTTCACAATGCAGAAGTATACAGAGTGTCAGTGCACAATTCATAACTTGCAACCTAAAAATGTGCATTTCTCCAGCCCTTTTTCAAGTGCCCTTTTTACCCTCTCAATCAAATTCCTGAGTATAGCTCAAAAACTCCAAGTAAAGTCACTATTTGCTGTGTAAACCAGAGATACAAATGCATTACCTTGCCCTGGATTTGCAGTGGGGTCTGTGTGTTTGTGTGTGGGTTCAAACCTGTTTTATATGTTGTGAATTAATCCAGGAGGCAACACCCTGCTTGGTTGTTGGGGGTTGCTTCTCATGAAGTTCACTGATGGCCATGGGTATTTGCTTGGGCAATCACGTTTTGTGGAAGGTTTAGAAGACTTCTGTTTTCAGAACCAAGAAACAGATTATTGGAGAAAAATGATGTTCTGCCTTTCTTCTAATTTTTTGAGTTTATGCAGTAACTCCTGGAAAGCCAAGGAAAGCATGTTTAAACGAAGCAACTGTAAATACCATTCATTAGTAACTTATTTTCCCTTGAGTCTTGTGAAGTGTGATTTTTAAAGACTGCTTTGTCTCCTGAATAGTATTAAGATTACAAGCACATTTTACATTCATGAGGCTGAAAGGCAAAAATGAAATGATCCTGCATTTCTTCACATTGTTAACTATGTGACTAATTTCAATTAATATGCTTATCATATGGAACTGTTCGTGTTTTATTTCTGAAACACGTGTCATTGTCGTCATCTCCATCCATTCTTGTCTTTTGTGATAACCTCCAAACTGTTTCCATTCCCTATTTTTCCTGGAAGAGCCATGTCCTCTTGCCCCCCCTGTAGCGTAGTGTGTGCTGAGAGAGGAGCCTGGGCCAGATTTGCTACCGCTGTGGCCCCTCTAATAAATGGGGGTGAACAATAATAATTTCACTGAGGCAGGTTCTCTTTTAGGGTGAAAATACACCAGCAGGTTCCTCACTTCTCTCCCTCCCATTGGAATTTGGAGGCAGAATCCCAGTGGGTGCTCTGGTGCTGCAGGGGGTCTGGAGGAAACCATTCAGGTGGCGACTGCCATGTGGGTAGTTTGGACCTTGGGCAGCAAATTCTTCTAGGACACAAGGCCACTTTACCTGCCAGTGCCTACATTCAATCTATTTAATAATAATTAAGCAGTGTTCCCTCAGCTTTTGTGGGCATCTGGGAAGACCTGCTCCTTGCACATCCCCATGAGCACCACAGCCACCTCTCTGCTGCTGGCCAGGGAATGCACAGGGGACTGTGTGCTGCCAGGATGCCAGGCTGTGGTTTCTTTTCCTGTGGGGTGGCAGAGCCGCCCCTCTCCTTCCCCAGACCCCTCTGACATCTCCTCTATCTGTTTTCCCTCGTGGCCAGGGAGAAGAAGCAGCTCTCTCCCCCCTCTGTCTGTGGAAGGTACGGGGACTTCTCCTCTCACCAGTGCTCTCTTTTCTCAGCGGGTCAACGAGGACTCCCAAAAACCCCACTCCCCTATTACTGTCTTCATAGCAGATAGTCCTTGTGTCCCACCTCTCCCCCAGTAAATTGCTTTACTGCAATTACAAGTTATCACTGTGGGTGAAGAACTTGAGTCATTATTTTGCCAAGTGCAGGAAATGTGAACCGTTCTTCGCATCCCCTAATCACAATGAGTTTGCCGGTTGTTGAATCAAGAAGATAAAAATAATCCTCCCCGTTAGAATAGCTTTTGTAATCACGTGTGACACATAGGGCTGCACATGGAGAGGTCAACATAAGGAAGAATAAAAGGGGCCATGCTCCTGAAGATGTTGCAGTGAGGACTAGTCCTGCCCTCCCTTCCCATCCCATCTCCCCCCACCCTGTCTCTGGCTGTGCTTGCCTGGGAAGAACTGCCGGCTCGGCAACAAGCGAGGAGTTTGGTCCCACGAATTAGGAGCAGGCTGAGAGCATTTGGTGGGGAGTACATTTGTATGGATTCCCCTCCCACAGGCAGGGTTTGCATCATGCAGACCCAGCCTGATGGATTTTTTTTGCTCGGCCACTGCAGCCAGCTGACCTCCCCCAGGAGAAGGTCGAGCACTGCCGAGCCAGCGCCTGTGGTTCTCCGTCGCGGACACAGCTCAGAGAGCCATGGATGATGTCAGCCGGATCTGGCTGGGATGGGTGAAATGGTTAAATGTCCTTCCAGTCCCTGGGCACTACAGCCTCAGACAGCCTTGCCTCCCATCCCCGTGCCTCTCATTCCAGTACCTCCCATCCCCACCAAACACTGGGCTCCTCCGGGGCTTGGGGTTTCTGCGCTCCCACCGCTGCCGCGCCAGACACAGGACTATGCCATCAACATGAGCTAATGCTGACACACAGTAAATATTAGCAGGCAGAATGGTGGGAATCAGAAGCAAAATATTTAACAGTTCATTCTCTTCCTACAAAGATTTCCATTTAGAAAGTTAACTCCAGTGTGCCTCTGCACAGTGTTTCTTTATAACAAGGGAAGATGGAAATAAAATGGTCAGATCTGTAATAGCTAAGGTAAGAGCTGAGTTGCTGAGGTTTAAAAAATTCCAAATGGACTGGTTCAGCTCTCAGGTATATCAGTGAACTCAGACTGATGCAGTTAGTGCTAACTGCAGCCTCACACATGTGTCCCAAGGAAAACCAAACTCGGTGATGCTGCACTCCTGCTTGGTGCCTGCTTGCTCCAGTGGGAAGGAGTTATCATCTGAGCCAGTTCTAATTTTTTCCCAATTTCATTAAAAACAAAGCCCAAACCTGAGCCACAAAAAATACTCCAAAGCCCCAAACATAATTTTGCAAAGCGAAAATAGGGAAAGGCCTTTTTTTTTTTTTTTTTCCAGGGGGTGTAATTCCAGATAGGGAATGGAAAGCTCTGTCCTCTCACAAGCCAATACAGCTATGAATGCTTAAACCCAGATGTAAATGATGTTAAATTTCCCTTGGTGGAATCAGGGTAATACCTATCAGAAAGTGCAGTATTTTTAAAAAACATATAATTGCAAATAATGTAAATGTGGAGGATGTTTTGGAAGAAGTGGGCGTGTTGTGTGGTGTGTAAAAACATTAGTCATGACTCTTTCATGGATTTGTTTGTGTCCTTGGCAGGCTTCAATGGCTGAGAACAGTATACCTCTATACACTACTGCTTCCATGGGAAATCCCACTCTGGGCAATTTAGCCAGTGCGATGAGGGAAGAGCTCAATGGTGCAATGGAGCATACGAACAGTAACGGGAGTGACAGCAGTCCAGGACGTTCCCCTATGCAAGCGATGTAAGTACGGCACAAACACGTGCCTGGTCCGGGTACCATGTGCTCAAGTGTGACTCTGGAGACCTTCCTGGCTCTTTCACGAGGTTCATGGATGTAGGAGCAAGATCAGAACTCTCCATCTGAGGACATGATTGGGGTGATTAGAAGATAAAAGAGCCATTTACCAGTTTCCACATAAAACTGATCAGCTCAACCCAGCCCAACAAGCACACGGGGCTGTAAAATCGTTCGCTTGCTTACAGTTCTCTTCTTTAAACCTTGCAAAACCTCATAGGCAACTATGTTCCTTGGAGAAAAAAATGTGCTTTGTCTCCCCTTCGGTCCAGGCGATGAGCACGGCCTGTGGGGCAGAGCTGGGAAATGGGCTTGTTTGGCGGGTCTGAAAAAAAACACTCAACGCACAGCGGTCTTGCTAAGCATTACCGTGAAGGTCTGTGTGATTTATGGATTGCTCTTAAAATATCAAAAGGAGCATTAATAGGGGCATTATGGCAACAGACAGGGTTGTAATGAGTGCACGAAGTGATGGGGGCTCACTGCTCAACGCGAGCGGCACCCGGGCAGCGAGCTGGCACAGGAAAGGGTAAGGCAGGAAGGGTGTGATGCCCCGATGGGTGTGTGCGGTATTTATGGGGTGATGGAGTGAGTTTGCAAAGCTGTAAACTCCCCCCTCCCCTCAGCTTACACACCGGGTAATTGGCGGCTGGTGAGGAAGCCGGAGTTTATAAGTCCTGTCGTTCTCCCAAAACCCAGCAGAGCAGTTGGGTACCTGCGAGTGACCACGCACAGGAGCTGCACTGCCTGTCCTCCCCCTGCTCCTTAGAGCAGGCTGTAAAATTACTGGCTGCCTTGCCACGGCTCACATTACACATTAAAAAGGGAACTAATTTGTAGTCTTTTACTTCAAAGTAATTTGAATAAGGGATTTACAAAAGTAAGTCTAAATCAAAAAGTAGAAAAAACATTAACCTAATACCACGATAGTAATTAGTTGTGAAACTAATTAGCATTTAATGGCAAAAAAGTTTCCCACCTGCATAATGTGTTGTCAGAGGGGAGGGGGCACGAAGGAATCTGAGGCTCTGGATACTTTGATATTGCAGCATTTTAAATCAGTGCACAAAGTGCTTTGAAAAAAAAATCTTTAAAGATGGCAACATTCATTTTTAATTAATAATTAATTTAAACATTGTCTTTTACCATTTACTTCAAAACATTCAAATAATGTGTTTAGCTTTTCCAGTGATTGTTTGTGCAGTATTAATTATCTCTCCCAAAGTAACGTTGCATGACACACTTTCCGTCTCTCACAGACGGATTCATCTCGAGGCAGTTTTAGTCACAATTCGTTATCCTCTGCCCGTGACCACGCAGGGCCGGCGTGAAGGAGGAGTGGAGGGACATGGCTCCTCTCCAGAAACAAGACTTCTCCCAAGGGTTTCTCCTGGCCTAACAGACAGGGATGAATGTTTATGATGTTGCGTTAATCCAAGTAATTATTTTTTTGCAAGTTCAAGGCTAGTGCAGTTCATGCACTTCTCATTTCACCTAAGGTTTCCTTGTCTTTGAAGAGACTGTGAGGAGGGAAAAATAGCTGAGTTGAAACAGGCTAGGACATCTTCCAGAACTGTGCATAGCTGTGGCCTTTGTTGCACTTAATAATCTTCTCTTAGCACATTGATACCAAGGTGAGGGGCACAGAACAAATACTGGAGAGAGAGGAGGTCGGGAGGAGTGATGCCTCATTTTCATTATACACCAGAAAATCCAATTTTCTGTTGTAATATGGAAATGATTGTTTCCTGAGTGTTTTCATTTTCTCAGAATTGATAATATATGTGTTCTCTGCTGAACATTTCTTTTTGCTTAAGTAAAATGTGGCTGGGTGATGTTCCAATACCAGCCTCGGAGCTTCCCCATTATAATGGTGTTTCTAAGTAGTCTGAAGGGATCTAAAGCCAGAGCACCATTCACACATCACGGGGTTTACCCTGTTCACTAAACAAAATCACAAGCCAGCAGCAAATTTCCAGACACTATGAAACCTTTAATTTTTCATGCTCCTGCTTTGTTAACAACGTTTTCTTTTTTTTTTTCTCAGAACAGATTTCCTTGTCATAATGCAAATTATTTTTTAAACAATTTCAGTATATTAGAAGGAGTCAAGCTTTAAACTTTCTGGTAAGGTTTAAAGGACCTTGTTAACATGACAGCTAAGAAGTCTAACACTTTAGCTGAAGTCTTATTACCGCTCATTCGTTTCCTTTTTATGACACATTGAACCACAGCTAGGGTGGGTTTTTTTCCCTTCTCTCTCCCTCCTTTTGAAACACTAGAAAGTAGTCGCATAATTACAGCTTGGGGACATAACACTTTCATCCTGATATGCTCCAAAGGTAGCCACAAAGCAAACTACTCCATGCTGTGTGCACCACCAGAACTCAGTGGCTTTAAACAACAGTCAGCTTTATTAAAAACTCCTCTGTTCCCAGAGTGGACAAACAAAAGAATTACTCAGATGTGAAAAGAAGGGGAATCTGTGTTCAGCAAGGTTATTTATTGTTAACCCCTTCTGGAGTCTTGGGCATCTACTTAAAAGGAATGTGCTGAATTTCTGCTGCTGTAAAAACAGAAATGGGAAACCCTTTCTTTTCTTTTCCTTATTCCCCCCACCGCTTTCTTTTTTTCTTTTTGCCTAACCCAGCATTTACCTTTTCTTTAATTCATCAGACTGAATTCTTTGGGCTCTAAAGGAAGTTTTCTTTCCCCAGTTCGGGGGTTTGGTGAGGTGGTGCGTAGAGATTCAGAGTTACTTGAGGGGATACAAAAGTCTCCCTTTGCCTTTGAGATTATTTAAGCTTGTTTATTTCAGTTGCTCAGAAATGTTTGAGCAAAATCACAGATTTGTGAAGGTTTCCTCCTCACATGCCATTTTGTGGTTACAGCTGACAGAGTACACAAGGAGCTGAATTTTTTGGTGTTGTTTTCCTTGCAGCTCTGTCCCTGGGGGGTGCATTACCCAGATAACCTTGTCATTTGGGGGATGGAGGTTGGGCCAAGCTCGCTGTCTGATGTTTGTGCAACACATGAGGTGCCGGAGGAGGCTGTTGTGGCTCTGCTCCCCGTGGCTTTGTCTCACCCAGGGTCAAGCAGCCCTTTTCATAACTTGGTGCTTGCTTCTCACACCTCAAGTTTTGTTCTTTGACTTCTGGGAATCACACCAAACCTCAAAAAGAACCTCAGTTAAAACCACCTGGTTTCACCTGCTTTAATAACAAAACCAGAAGGGGCAGAGTTTGCTGTGGAAAGATTTGGGGACTTTAGAATGAGCTTTCGCAGATTTTGTATGGTTGTGAATGCAGTGAACACCTGTCTTATCTGCTGGCACCCGAGGTGGTGGGGATGTGTTAAAGCACTGGGCAGCCTTTGGAGAAACTCCAGCCCATGTGCCAAGGCCACCTCCCTTACATGTGATACATGCTCTCCTCTGCCCTTTCAGAATTTCCCATCTGTGTTTTCAAAAATAGTACTTTAAAAAAATAAATCAGCCCAGCAGCAGCATCAAAACCAGAAAGCAAAAAGGCAAGACTTTGACATTAAAACAGCAGTAAAAAAGATCTCTGCCATAACGGCCGTGAAGCACAGGCTTTATCGGGCTCTCTGTGCAGCCACACTTTCCCCGTTTTTCTTCTGGTTTTCATTTCATGTTTTCTCCCAAGTGAGGGGCCCCACAGCCTATTCATAATATAAGTTTTTCTAGTTGCAGATAGTCAGCATGGTTTAATGTTTGCTGGGACCACGAGGCTGGAGGGAGGGATAGCACGTGAACACCTCTGACATGACAGTCTGCTCACAAGATAGACGCTTATGCCAGTTCTTAACCTCTGATACTTTCACTGTCTCCTCCCAGTCTGTTTTTTTACCCTTCCTTTTTCACTAGTTAGGTCTAAACTGTATTGAGCAATGCTCTCTGTGTAATTTTTGCAAAAACTCTGTGACATGCAGAAGAACCTCTTTGCTCCCAGATATCTGTTGATAGGACACATACTTGTGAATCTGATGGGAAAGGATGTGTGTACATGGATACTGCATCATTTCTTCCCACCATTCCTTTGTTGGATGAGTCAGAAGGTACAGTTAATACTTAAGTATTGATCCAGCACTTTACAACTCAAGAAGTTGAAACATGCAGGGACTTGAAAGGCATTCGCAGCTCAGGTTAGAAATGTCTGTAGTCAGCAAGTTAGATACTTCCTAAACTGATCCAGGCTCAAACCGAAATAAATAAATAGGGTACAAGGGTACAACTGGCTGACTCAAAGTAGGCAGAATTACCTTTGGTTTGTCCATGGATGCTGAGTACATTTTCTCTGTGCAGTGATTTATCCTCGCTGTCTGTGCATGCAGCAGAGAACAAACAGTGTTGTCCTCCTTATCCACACAAAACATAAAATACAGTGCGGCTATTTTAAATTGTTCGTTTTAAAACAAAGCTGTGCAAGCACAGAAAAAGTTCTTACACAGAAGGTTTGTGCTTCAGGTTGTGCTTCCATGTTGCCCACGTGAAAGGGTTAAATCAGCCCGCACAGCATAAAAAAGAGTCTTGGAGGTGGATATCAACTCAGTGAGAGACAGAGTGGGACTTGAACTCATTAACACTTTATTTTAAGGGATTGCCTACAACATCAATTATTTAGGAAGCAAACAGGGTCTCCATCGCTGTGTCACATTATTAATACTTGGTAATGTCAATAAAATCCTGCTTTCCTATAAAGTCCCACCAACAAGACACTATTGACTCACATGGCTATTTTACATTTCAAAAGCTGCCTAAAAAAAAAAAAAAAAAAAGAAGAAGAGAGAGTTAAAAAAAAAGGGTAATTTGTATTTGTATGGGATTTGTTGTAAATATGATTTACGAACAACATTTTTCAATTGTTATCGTACCCGTTTTGAATGACCAAGCCTCTGTTCCCCTGCGGGTTATTCATGTGCTTTGCTGTAATGAGAAATTTGGCAGATCTCATCTCTTTAGTACATCCTTGTGCCCACCATGAGCTGGGGATCATGTTCTGCCTTGTTTACAGCTGACAGTGTTATTATTCTCGTTAGGACTGTGCTTTCTTATCATATTGTTGTGTTGAGCGAGCCTTTTCCTCTCTGTTTGTGTTTCCTGGCAGGGCTTTTCTTCCCTTATTGACAGTTTGTAAAAATATGCATTAATTTGGAGTTTAAAGCATGTATCATGGTGTCTCTTTGCTGTGTTTGCTTGAAGTTGATTAATGATAGAACCTCACTTGGGGTCGTCCTCTGGAGAGTTGTCTCACAGGTTCTGCATGTTAACGAGAGACGCTGCACACACAGCGAGCGATGATTAGCCCAGCCTGGCAGGCCGCGGCTTTCCCATCCGGATGCTTATTCCGCTTATTTATCCAAAGATCATATTAACTTAATGTGTCAGCTGAGAGCGTTTTCTCTCGATCCCAAGACGGAAACCCTATCGAGGTGCTCCTCCCAGAGTGTTTTCCCGGGGAAGCTGAGTGCTGCCCGCCTGGCGTAGCCTTCATAGAATCTTGGAGTCATTAAGCTTGGAAAAGAGCTCTTTAAGATCATCAAGTCCAACCGTTAACCCAGCACTGCCAAGCCCACCCCTAAACCATGTCCCTAAGTGCCATAATGCAACATGTTTTCTTAACACTTCCATGGATAGTGACTGCACCACTGCCCTGGGCAGCCTTTTCCAGTGTTTCACCACTCTTTCAGTTCATAATATCCAGTCTACAGCTCCCCTGGTGCAACTTGAGGTTGTTTACTCTTGTTCTGTCGATTGCTACCTGGGAGAAAGGGCTTTGCTTGGCTTCCACAGCCGGTACAGAAGTTAAGGGACTCCTGCTTGGTGACCTGGAGCTATTGACTGGTCCCACCTAGTGTGAACCCCCCAAACCACCTTTCTCCCCAAACTACCCATGCTGTCAAAACCATTTTTTAACGAGCAGTTTGCTGATTGACTGTCTCCTTGTTTTCCCAGGCACCCTGTGCATGTCAAAGAAGAACCATTAGACCCAGATGAAAATGAAGGCCCTCTATCCTTAGTGACAACAGCCAACCACAGTCCAGATTTTGATCACGACAGAGATTATGAAGATGAACCTGTAAATGAGGACATAGAATGAGTATGTCTGACATCGTTACCCTGAGAATGAAGATTGGAAGAACACGTCAAACTTAGCTGTGAAATCTCTCCATTATTGTACAGTCTGGAGGATTCTCAGTCCACTTTGACAACTATGAAATATGTTAACTCTTAGTGCCATCAAGTATCCCATTTGGGAGTATTTTTGATTTTTCTACTTTTTGTTGAAAAAAGGAATTTGTACTCTGTGCATTGGATGGACTTGTTTGGTACTTGGGATTTTCCTCTCTTACAGTCAACATCAGTGTTGTAAATTTGCTAAACTGATTCACTTGCATTTAGCAGCCAGCTGTGGACTGCAGGTCCTGCCAATTTTGGACACTTGAGGACATCAAACTGAGCATGTACACCTGAACTGCAGATCAAGTCTTTGCCCAGATTTTAAGGATTCCAATGGACAACATATTTGCACAGTACTGCATGTTGATTATCACTGCCTTTACTCCATTTTTTTTTGTTTGGTTTTTTTTTTGGTTGGTTTCTTTTTTTTTTTTTTTGCTTCCATTTGGGATGGGGAAGGCCTGTGTGTGCACGTGTGTGGGTATGTGTGTGTGCGTGTGAGCGTGTATATCGGGGAGGGGTTCAAAGAAAAAATTATCCCAAACTTTTTAATGTATTGCTTTTATTCCCCCGCCCCACTTCTCCTCTACCATTTTAAGTTCTGACCTCAGGCCTCATCTGGGCCCAGGGCCTCTCGGAGGCTTCAACGTTTTCTGTACTTTGTGATGAATGTTAATAGGTGTTTTTATTATACGAAGCTGAATGTCATTGAATTGTTTGTAGTTTTTTCTGTCATTCATTCCAGTTTCCTTCAGATGCCACCATGTTTTCTTTAGCTATGGAAAACATTCCATTTCGGTGTCTCCTTTTTTGTTGTTGTTGTTTTTTGAAAAGGTCCCAAATGCTGCACGATACATGTGGAAGGGTTGTCCAACGGAGAGAGAGGAACGAAGTACTGCAAGAATGAGAATGAATGACAGATGAACATAGAAACACTGTAGGAAGCAACACAGATTCATTCCACAAAGCAGTATTTTTAATATATTTTTGTTTTGTTTGGGGTTTTTGATTTCTTTTCCTTTTTTTTTTTTTTTTTTGGCAGCAACGGTGAATATTAGCAAATGCCACAAAATTGAACAGCACAAAGAAATATATGCAGCACCAACAGAGTTCACTTTTAGTAGAGAATGAATAGTACAGTGGCAGGTTCTCGGTTGTTTAACACGAGTTCTTAATGGGTCAGCAGATCTTTCTGGAATATCTAAGATTACCGAGATGGGCACCTATACATTTAGTAATACAATTCTTTTTTTAATTTTATTTTTGCATTTGCATTTGCAAATAGTGGTTGGAAAGATGACTTCATTAAATTGTTACTGTATGTGGGTGATGTTTCACGGTTAAACATCAGTTCAGGATTGCTTGGTGGCATTAATCTGTTTGAATACAAATTAGATTTCAGATTGAACTTGTTACGGGAGTTAATAAGGACGGAGCCCCACTAATGCTAAAGTGTTAATTTTCAGCTGTGCAAATCCAGTACTGCAGTTAGGATTGTTATGCAATATTACACCAGCCAGTATGGAAACCTCGCCGTAGGAGACGGGAGAGCCAGGAGAGAATTCGCGCCGGGGCTTGTTAGGCAAAGCTGGCAAAGCTCTGCGAAGCAAACACGACATACAAAATCTGTTGCGATAGGTCAGTAAACCTCGGTCACCAAAAACACCTACACGTTTGCATTCTGCAACCACTTTTCCGTCACTCATTTATTTATGTAGGATTGTAGCTTATTTTTTTTTTATTATTATTTCAAAAAGCCTTTCAGAGCTTAATTTATATTCTTCTTTGAACCTTTTTTTTTTTTTTCCTAAAATTACCAAAGATATTACACAAAGGTAAATTATGTTCTCTGTTATATGCTTTATCTTATGAAGCCAAATATCCTCTTATTGTTGATCAAAGGAGGTTGAAGAATTTAGAGGGAAATGACAAGATGTGGGCTATTGCTAACCTGAGAGGGAAACTGCTCCTTTATTCTAGAAAATTTAGAAGGCCAAGTAGATGTCTGAACCAAAGTTGTTACTTTTTATTTGCAATTCTTTACAGTGACCAAAATGAAAGTCTGTAAAGAGGAATCGAGGAGAGCTTTTGAGGCTAAAACTAGAAATCAGTGTTACTGGTGGAGCTACGAGAAGGGAGCTGGAGAAAGCAAAGACACAGTTATTTCACAGAGAATTAGAATATCAGATAAAGGAGACAGTTTAATAAAATACAGAAGAGAACAGAAAAGCTCCCACAATTTAACTGGACGACATATTAGTATTTCTAGAATTAAAAGAAATAATTTTTTGGTCTTTGGTTCTACAGATTGTGTGCCACTTCTGTTCCGGGACTGTGCTGGGATGACTGCTTTAATTTTGGTTGATCTTGGCACATTTGCTCAGTTTTGTTTAATTTTTGGTCAGCATTTTTCATAAGGAAATAACACTCCTGTCCACTCATAAGCTTTGGTACAAGAAATTTTATTGGCAGTTACTTTTATAAAACTCAACTCTGCTTTCTGTTTCAAAAAGACAAGTTTAAAAAAAAAAAAAAAAGAAAGAAAAAAAAGGGCAGTCTTTGGTCATTTGGAAACATTTTTTTTTTTTTCTTTTTTTTGGTTTAAATTATATCCAGGCAGCTTCGTGACGTGCCGGCGGTAGCCAGACAGGGATCATGAGAATTGAGCCCTGTGCTTCTAAACTGAGTGGTTTGCTGGTTAGTTCGGTATTCAGAAGGGGGATAAAAATCTGGTAGATTAGTTCATTCTCAGCATGTGTAGCTAGACATGAGTAAAGATAACAGCATGAGAAACTGTTAGTACGCATACCTCAGTCCAAACTGTTAGGGAATGAGTAAATAAAAAATACATTTCACTCAGTTGCACTTAGTTGTATGTCTTGCATGCTTAGTCTAAAGACTGTAGCAAAAACAAAAAAAATTAAAAAAAGAGAAAAAGAAATAAAAAATTAGAGTTTAACATATCTGGCAGGTGTCGCAGCCTTGCAGAAGAACCAACTGAAAATCTCAGGCTTTACATCAAGCAAACTTCACTATGATTTTTACAATTCTGATTCTGTATCCCTTTGGATATACAGTTGCTTCTTTAGGGAGGGGTTTATTATGTTGTACATATATATCCCACTGTGTCTGTGTGAGCCTTTGTCTTTTGGGGGGAGGGTGGGGAGGGAGGAAAAGGTGGAAAGGTCCTTTTTTTAGATATCATTCCTCAAAAGGAATAAATGCAGACCTGTTTGTCAAAACACCTTTTGCTTTTTGTGCAACTGCTTTATATTAACTATACTAAAAAAAAATAGCTTTGAAAAAAAAAAACTACTGTATGTAATGGAATTGCAGAATACGCTGCACATGTATTTTATTTAGTTATCCTTGCTTTAAGAATATTGGATGACATTTGCTGACATGTGGGAGAAAATCCCTGACTTTTTTTTTTCAGCTTTTAAATTGTAACATAGTTGACAGATTTTTTTTTTTTTTCTCCTGTTATCATTGATCAAAGCATTTTTGTACAGTTTTTGTGTTTAAGCTGGTTTTTTTGATACTTTCCCACCCCTTCTGTTATCTTACCACTGCCTTTTCTGGCTGTCTTAAACAAAGTTCATATATTTGAAAGGAAAAAAAAAATCGTTTAAAAAAAAAAAATGTTTTTCTCCTGCTGCAGTAAATATTTTGCATGATGAATTCCAGGGTCACACTTTCAAAGTTTATCAGTGAAGTAGTGATTAATAATGGGGAGTGTCAAACTATTGAACTTTTTGTATAAAAAAACAAAAAAAAAACTTTACAAGGTGCCAAGATGTAAAGACAATTTGTTACATGTTTTTTTTCTCAAAGAAAAGCGTACATTATGAAAGTAGTACCATGTATCAGGTAAATCGCTGTCAGGAATGAGAGTCAAAGCCTTCCTTGTCCACAAAAAAAAAAAAAAGTTTGTAAATGTAAAACCTGTTAGGTTTCTGCATTCAACTAGAAGTGAAATTAAAAAATAAAATAAAAATCAAGGCTTATGTAGAACAAGTGACCACAAAAAAAAAAAAAAGACCTTTTTTTGATTATCACTCGCAAGAGTCCCACTGCAGGTCCTGCCCCTCCCCTCCCCTGGAGCTCAGCTTCAGGGAGACACCAGGGCAGGGATGCTGGTTCTACAAATATTGCAGATCATTAGATATTTTATATATATACATACATAAATATATATATATATAAAGTTTTTTAAAATAATTTTGAACTATTGTAGTTTTCAGATCGCCAATAATCTCACGTTCATTATAGCATGGAAAAAGAAAAAACCAAACGTGTTTAAACTCTTTTGAAATCCTTTGGTACCTTTGGTTAATGAACTCAGAGTGATTTTTTTAGATGTTTCAGAAGTCATTTAGTATTCTAGTCTTGCGAGGTGAATTTGCAGTTCAGGACTGCATTTTAATGGGCCCAGAACAGGCAACCAAGTATCTCCTACCCATAAGCCTTGATGAAAATGGTACAGTCCAGACTGTTAGCATGGTGCTTCGTGTGTATGTGCTGCCAGTAACAAGATTTTTTTTTTTTTTTTGATAAGGCATAAAAGAAACTCATTCCTTACATCAACTGTAATTCCATCATTCCATGTCTGTTGATACAGACAATAAAAAATGTTGTGTAGTCAGTACTAATTACTGACATTATAGCATTCTCAAATGCAATAAAAATGCTGGTTGTTCACACTGGTAATGCGAGTTGCCATGTCCAAAGTTCTTTTTTGTTGTTCCCCCCTCCCAGTGACTCTGGTGTCACATCCCATGGGCCCCAGTGCTGATCCATGGAGCAACTGGGTTGCTCCTCACCCACGTCCCAGCACGTTCATGGACAGTCTCATTGCTCTCCTTGGGTCTCCCCAACCACATCTGAGCACAAGATACTTTATTGGTGGTTTTACAAGATACTTTATTGGTGGTCGGTCTGGACAGGGGCAGTTGGTTGAGGCTTGAGCACAGGAAACCACTGGAAGGCAGACACTGTCATTGAAAGAATTCATCCAGTTTTCCAAAGAAGTCCATCACTTTTGTCCATTGGGGTCCCAGGGAGTTGGTAACTTGTTTTCTCATTGGACTCTGCTTCAGATCATGAAGGAGGGGTTTTGAGGCCTCATCCTGAACCTCTTTCCCAGTGCTGTGCCGTAATGGGAATGGCGCTGCTGGCTTTGGTAGGAAGGGTTGGGATCACTCATTGCACCCCTGTCAGAAGGGGTTTGCAGGATCAATCCCATGGTCCACAAAACCATGAGGAGCAAGGTCCCAAGTTGTGCTATCACCTGAGACAAACTTTAAAGAAAAAACCCACCTTCTCTTTCTTTGGAGTAAGCACACATGTATTTTCTTCATCAAGTTTTCTAAAGAAAAATAAAATGTTTAATAACTAGCATTAGCAGCAAACTGAAATTTCAGAGGAGAGATTTTTCATGAATAATTCATTAAAATTTCACATCTGCAAGATTAGTCATCCAAATAAAATGCTAATGTCAAAAACATGCACCGTCTATAATATTCTCATCAAGAAATCTTTTTGCATATAATGATAAATGCTTAAATTAGTACAAATGATTTTATAAAAATATTCTATCATAAAATTATACCAGATAACTACTTTTTTTTGGTTGGGGGGGATAGTGAGGGGGAGAATCTTTGCACACTCATTATGGTGTGTCTCCAAGTGGTATTGACTGGTAGATTTTAATAATCAAAATACAGAAAATAAGATTTGGGTTTGGTTGTGTGTTGCACTTTTATCACTAGTGAGATTTTAGTAAACTGGAGAGGACTTGTGGGATTAAATTTTCCAAAGTCACAGGCAGAGGGGGTTAAGCCAGAAGTTGATGTTTGATCAGGTGTGCTCTGCATCTGTAAAATGGGGAGAGTCATCTCCAGGGAGGGAAATGTGTCCCTGGATGAGTCCCTGCAGGGCTCTCAGCTCCTCTCTTGGAGGACAGTGTGTCCCTGCACAAGACACCAGCAGGCACGTCAGGGGCTACAGAGCCATCACAGATAATTTGGGTGTTCCACTTCCCTGGACATCTCGACCCAAAATGATGGCTCAGGGACCCAAATACGTATGTTTGTGACAACTGTCATCTGCCAACTGTCCATGGCCTCTGGTTTCAGAGGAGCTGCCATGTGCAGTTTGTGCTGAGGAGCTGGCACTGAGCTGAGGAGCAGGACCAGGCTCTTCCCTCCTGCCCCAGTCTGCTGCCTGGAGCAGCGGATGGGAGCCTGGCTCCTGGCCACCTTTTGTATCATCTCTGTGTTATTAATCACATTTCTTCTCCCTGGCTGCTTCATTGCAGAGCATCACACAATGCCTTCCTGCTCCACCAGCTGGGAAAGACCTTTTCCAGTCAGAAACGCTGTTTTCTACCACAGCTGAAAAGCACTTTTATGGGCAGTGGTGAGGCAATGAGTCTCTGAGGAATTTCCAAGGAAAACCGGAGCCAGTGAGTAGTTTTTCTGGGTTTCTCCTGTCCCAGAGGGAAATGCTCAGGAGCTGGAGGCCCAGGAGGACATGGCAGCCCGTGTGCTCCGTGCACACCCAGCTGCTCCCCTGCAGATGATCCCAGCAGTGACATTTAACTTGGGCTGTGATCACAGAGTCTGACAAACTTCACATTATTGGACTAATTTAAGGGACTGGCAATTCCTGGTGCCACTCGCTCACAAGCAGACACACAAACACACCCTTCTTCACAACAAGGTATAATTAGCCCTTCTTGACCTATTAATCAGGCTCCGTCTTCAATGATGATGTTAAATGTTCGTTTAATGGGGTGTTAATCAGGGCTATCTTTCATCCTCCTCGCAGCAGTGGTTAATTCCGCCAGGTTGAAGCTCTCCTCACCCTCACATTGCCACCATCCTGCCCAGCAGCCATGGGACAAGGTGGTGGGACAAGGCCCTCAGGTTTGGTTTGCAGCCTTCACGATGTTTACAGCCAGTTTTGCCCCAAACCCCACAGCTGTGGCATAGCAAAAGTCCATTCCCCCCCCCCGCTCCACCTCCTTTTATTACCTTCGTTAGGTATCTTCAAAGCACGTGAGCTAGAAATGCTAAACAACATCACCTTGGGGTATTTACAAAAAAATAACCCCTCCTCCCTTCATGTTCTGCAGGAATGTTTCTGTCAGCCTCAGGAAGAGGGAAAGAAATACCTCATTTTGCACCATTTTGTCTGTATTTATTTAGAGGAGTCCAGTGACCATTTTTTATGCCTCTCAGAAGCCTAAAAAACATTTTTTTTCTTCAAGTTATAATGTTAATTTGAAGGTAACCGTCCTTTCAAGGATTAATTCTAGCCAAAGCAATAACCATTATTTACCAGAGTTTGACATTTTTATCACTCATCATATTAGCAAATTTCCATTGAAAATGCTAAAATGGTTCGTCATAAGGCACATAACTGCTTTGGTTGTAAAAATGACCAACACAAGTGCCTGTACTCAAACATTAAATTATACTGTAATTAATAAAGACAGTTAAACTGTCTACTAGCAACAGCAATTTAGGTAACCACATTTGATCGGCTATAAATTGTAACTACATTAAAATTCCAGAAATATTAGCAATATGGATTACTTGATGGAAATAGGTGCTGATCACCAACACTCCTATTTTACAACGGAAGCACAGGTCATGTTGGCCACAAAACTGTGGGCGAAGATCAAGGCTGAGTACTTTTAATCTTGTGAAACAAGCAATTACAAATAGTTGCATCGATTTGTTAAAAAGCTTTGGGTGACATAAATTGTTTCCTGTTTAGCTTATTGCTCTGATACATAAATGTCACTGGGTATAATATTAATTAGGGTCACAGAACAACAAGGGTCGGGTGATATAGTGTACGATCAGGGATGTGTCAATCCTTTGTGGAGGCAAGAAAAGCTCCGGCCCCTTCGCACTGCCGCGCTCAACGCCTCGTTTTATGTGATGACAAAAGAAAGTAAAGGAAACTATATTTTAATATGTGAAGTAATTACTTTAGTACTAGTATAATTTTATGGTTTAGGATAAATTACAGTGTTTTCATTCTCCTGCGCTTGCCACATAACATAAAAAATCCACATACAGCATCAATAAAATAGAATACTGTTTATAAAGGCTTTTTCTGCTGCACAAGACCAACACTATTCCTCCTAGCAGATGGAAACTAAGCACACATTTCAGTCTGCTGTGTGTTTCTACACTTAATTTTTTTTTTTTTTTAAACCAAAAAATGGGCTGTGCAGGTTATTTACTTAACATAAATCAAATGTATCATATACACTGTTTCTTTGGATTGGCATCCAACTTAGAAAAATACAGTAAGATCCTGAAAAATCTGGAGAAAATTTATTAAATATGATTTTTACTGTAATAGAATATTAATGTAACCCAATGCTCATTTCCCATTAAGTTGATCCCTTTTTAATACACACATGCTTTTTATTATTTTGCACTCATGCGAAAATTCCACATTCAGAGACTTTCCATCTCCTTAGGAATGTCTCTGGCAAAGGCACAGTAAGAAATCTTGCACTGAAGAAAAAATAAATAAATAAATAAAAAATAGAAGGCAAATATCAACCGATAAGATGTGGCGAAGTGCTGATGAACTGAAGCAAAAGCCAATGATACAATAAAGGGTAAAAAGGCATTCAGCACTGCGAGGGGAACAGGAGAAACAATTACACTTTAAACCCCTCCTTCTCGCTGCCACTGTACCACAGCACAGATGAAAATGTTTGATTTGCAACATAAAAGATTAATTAATTACCACTTGAATATTTAAAGCTATTTTGCAGACTAACAGAGGTAGATAAAGCACTGAATTAAAACCCCTAATAAAATTGTAAAAATATTTCTGCAAGTTTACCAGCGTCGCAATTCCTCCCAGTTTAGGGAGCCAGGCTTGGCTTGTTCGGGAAGGAATTATTTCATTTTCGAGTGGGTATTCAAAGTAAGATGGTGTGACTGCACGGTGCTATTTGTCTCTCATTTTCAGATGTTTACCAAATACTTAGTTGGATGCTCTCCCTTCACACGTGGTTTGCCCTTCATGGGAGAAGTGGCTTTACCAAACAATGCAGTGGATGGTGAGTGTGGTTGAGCCATACATTCATTTTTATAGATTTCCATACACAGCAAAAACACATCTGGTCATAACTCTGGTCTAATGCTGTCTTTGATATGAGATAGTGGGGGGGAAAAAAACCATATCTGTTAATCCTGTTATAATTACCCTAGTTAGACTTAAAAAAAAATAATTGGAAGAGCATCCTTTTTTGCAAGGGTGGAGAACTCGTGCCCATGGCAGGAATGGGTATCATGGAGAGCATCTCTGTAACCCTGTGGTACATCCCAAATTTGCCCCATGGAGGCTGAGCTGTTACCTCTGGGCTTACAGAATATTTTTTTTAAATTTGCTGATTATAAAGAGCGAATCATGTGCACACACCCAGAATGCGCAGTGTAAGTTAAATAAAAATTATATATATTTCTTTACACAATTCCTGCCTGTGGGTGATGCAGCCTCAAAGTGCTGTGAGCCCCTTGCCAGGTGTTGTAAATCTTGGTGGCTCAGGAGCTGAATCTGACACATGACAATCTAATATGTTGATTTTCACCTGTTTGCATTCAGTTGACAAATTTAAAAAAAAAAAAACAAAAAACACTTTCTATTTTTAAACAAGTGACTATTTGAAATCC